AAAAAAAAAAAAAATCACAATTTCTAGCATTTATCAAAAAGATATTTGAAAAGCATGGTGGAGACAGAAAACAACAAAATCAAAACCAAACAAGTAAAAAGAGCCATGTCTTCCAAAGCCTAGCACTTTCCAACACGATTTTTATCCACAGCTATGCGGCTTTCTTGCGATTCAAAAAATTATGAGCAAAACTGACTGGGCTCCAGTTATTTCAGGTGGACCCAAGTTCTCAGATTGTTCTGAAAGGGGAATTTACAAATACCAGGGAACATGATTATTTATAAAGATGTTAGAAACTGGTTACATCTTTTACATACACGCTCATAGAGGCTGCCAACAGGCACTGGAAATTGTTCTGGGAGAGGAAACAGCACAAGCATTCAGCCTGCAGCTGTCCCCTCTCCACTGCTTTTCATACCTTCCCTGGGCCAGGGATCAGTCTACGGAACAAGTGGGAATCATTCCTCCCAGTCCCAGGGGGACTGGTGTAGCAGGGCAAAGCTCCCTGCCTGGTTCCCAGAGCAGACCTTCAATAAGGGGGCTCAGCCGGGAGCGCAGTTGGTGGCTGGCTCATAAAGTGTGGCACAGATGAAAGCTGTACCCCCGGTCTCACCACACAACCAAGGCTGTCCCTGGGAACCCTTCATCAGCTCCTGCTACTAACTCCAGGGAGCTCCCTCACTCATCCTTGTCTCCATGCAAGCAGCAGCTGCAGTAGCAGCTAGCAGGCACCCCTGTTCCCATTGTTGCCCAAGGACAACAGGGACAGGGCAGTCAACCTGTCACTATGTGAAGAAACAGGCACTTCCCAGTCCGGGCGGCCAGTGCCACCTTTGAAGTACTGCGCGTGCAAGAAGCTGAGGACCAAGGAGCTGGTTCCTAGTCCAAGGCTGCTCACAGGCCAGGCACTTCAAAGTCTGTGCCAGCAACCCAGGGACTGGGGAGCTGCTTCCCATTGCCAAGGCTGCCAGCATGCCCTTTAAAACTTCCCAATGTGTGAGCAGTCCCTGACTAGGCAGCCATTTCCTAGTCCCAGGTAACTTGCATGCCGGGCACTAAAAGCCATGCCAGCAGCCCCAGGGCCAGGGCTGCATGCTAAACACCCAGGGGTGAGCAGGACTCTGCTTTCATTATCACCAGGTAGGGACAGGAATACATGCTAGACACCCTGAAGGGGGATTCTGCTCCCTAACTAGCTCCTGCGGCTGCTGTCCTGTCCCAGCCACCCTGGCATCCTTACTGCCGCAGAGCACCCTGCAAACTGTACAGTCTAAGAAAAAACCTGCAAAAGCCAGAAACACGCCAAAATTTCTTTCCATTTCTGCACAAAACAGTTTCCAGCTCATGCAGACAAGCAGGTACTTCATTCCCAGTGAGACATGCCAAGGTGGGAGCTAGTCTCTGGCTTCTTCAGGCTCCCTTCCAGGCGGGTGTCAGTGCTTCATGGGGGGGCCCACCCTGGAGCCGCAAGCGGGATAGCCCAGGTGGAGGGCTGTGACCTGCAGAAGCGCAGGAGAGGCACAGGCAGGCTTTACCGATACGAAAACAAGAGCCCAAGCCCCGTTGCCGCCATCTCGACGAGGAGGCTCAGGGCTTTAAGAGCCCAGTCGCAGCCCGGGTTTTCCCGCCTACACGGGACGCCTCCCCCGACGCCCGCAAGACCGCCGACGGAGTCGCCTCAGCCCAGCCAGGACCTTGGCCCGCCGCGGGCAGAGCACGAAGCCCAGGCTCACCCTGGGGATTCCAATACCGCTGCCGCCCCGGGACGCCCGCCATTGTACCCAGTTCCCTGCCCGCCGACCACGCGCCGTGAACGCTGCGCACACGACACAGCCAATCAGGAGCTTGCGCTCCCTACTCCCAGCCAATCACGGCGCGGCGGAGACGCCTCTGGGGGGGCTGCCCCCCCACTCCAGGTAGACGCCAAAGGGAAAGGGGGTGCATCACGTGGCCTCGGGGGCGGGGTGGGCTGGAGCGCGGGGCGTTGGGGGATTCGTGGAAGGAAGTAACGGCACCTTGGTGACGGTTATTGGCCCAACCGCCTGCTGGGGGGTGGGGGCAGCAGTGGTCACGTTTGCAGAACTGAGGTTGGGCGTGTGGTGACCGAAAGCTGCCTGACATCTTTTTCCACAGGAGAGTTAGTCCGCTAGCGTTGAAAAGCCCCTCCTGGCTTCTTGCATATTCCCTGGCTCCTCACGGTGACACCAACAGTCCAGCCCTCTCAGTTAAATGTATTCATACAGTCAGAAAACTAGGGTTGGAAGGGACCTCAGGAGGTCATATAGTCCAACCCCTTGCTCCAAGCAGGACTGGCCCCAACAACATCATCCCAGCTATAGCTTTGTCCAGATGGGTTTTGAAAACCTCCGAGGATGGAGACTGCACCACCTCTCTGGGTAACCTGATCCAGAGTTTTAATGCCCTCCTGGTGAGAAAATTCCTCCCAGTATCTAACCTAAACGTCCCTGGTTGCAACTGAGACTTGCTCCTTGTTCTGTCATCTGCCACCTCTGAGAACAGTCCAGCTCCATCTTTTTTCAAATGCCCCTTCAGGTTGCTGAAGGCTGCTATTAAGTCCCGCCTCAATCTCCTCTTCTCTAAACTAAATAAACCCAGTTCCCCCGGTCTTTCCCCATAAGTCATGTCCCCCCTGCCCCTTCAACATTTTTGTTGCCCTTTGCTGGACTTTCTCCAATTTCTTCACATCCTTTCTGTAGTGGGCAGCCCAAAACTGAACACAGTAGTACAGATGTGGCCTCAGCAGTGCTGAATAGAGGGGAATAATCACTTCCCATGACCTACTGGCAACACTCCTATCAATGCAGCCCAGTATGGCGTTAGCCTTCTCGGCAACAAGGGCACTGCTGGATCATTTTCAGTTTATTGTCCACTGTAACCCCCAGGTCCTTTTCTGCAGAACTGCCGCCCAGCCAGTCAGTTTCCAGCCTGTACTGGTCGATGGGATTGTTCTGTCCTAAGTGCAGGACTTTGCACTTATCCTTGTTAAACCTCATAAAATTCCTTTTGGTCCAATCCTCCAATTTGTTCAAGTCACACTGAATCCTAGCCCTACCCTCCAGTGTATCTACTACTCTCCCCATCTTGGTGTCATCTGTAGACTTGCTGAGGGTGCACTCTATGCCATCTTCCAGGTCACTGATGAAAACTCTGAACAAAACCAGCCCCAGGACGGACCCATGGGGTACTCCATTTGATACTGTCAGCCAACTAGACATTGCACCATTGATTACTACTCTCTGAGCTCAATGTTCCAGCCAGTTTTCTACCTACCTTACAGTCCATTCATCCAGCCCGTACTTCCTTAGCTTGTCTGTGAGAATGCTGTGGGAGACTGTATCAAAAGCCTTGCTAAAATTAAGGTACACCACATCCACTGGTCTTCCCACATCCACAGAGCCAGTCATCTCATCATAGAAGGCAATTAGGTTGGTCAGGCATGACTTTACCATGGTGAATCCATGCTGACTGTTCCTAATCACCTTCTTCTCCAAGTGCTTAGAAATGGATTCCTTGAGGATCTGCTCCGTGATTTTTCCAGGGATTGAGGTGAGGCTGACTGGTCTGTAGTTCCCTGGATCCTCCTTCTTCCCTTTTTAAAATATAGGCACTATGTTTGCCCTTTTCCAATAATCCAGGACCTTTCCTGACTGCCATGAGCTTTCAAAAATGATGGCCAATGGCTCTTCAATCACATCCACCAACTCCCTCAGTACCTTTGGGTGCATCCCATCTGGCTCCATGAATGTGTACACATCCAGCTTTTCTAAGTAGTTCCTGGCCTGTTCTTTCACCAATGAGGGCTGCTCACCCTTTCCCCAAACTGTTCTGCCTCCTGCAGTCATCTGGTAGGTAGCTGACCTTGACTGTGAAGACTAAGGCAAAAAAGGCATTGAGCACTTTAGCCTTTTTTGCATCCTCTGTCACAAGGTTACCTCCCCCTTCCAGTAAGGGATCCACACTTTTCCTGATCCTCCTCTTGCTACCAACATACTTGTAGAAACCCTTCTTGTTACCCTTCATATCCCTTGCTAGCTGCAATTCCAAGGGCACTTTGGGCTTCCTAACTTCATCCCTGCATGCCTGAGCAATGCTCTTAAACTTCTCCCTAGTTATTTGTCCAAGTTTCTACTTCTTATAAGCTTCCTTTTTGTGATTTAGTTTACTGAAGAGCTCCCTGCTAAGCCAAGCTGGTCTTCTGCCATACTTGCTAGTCTTCCTGCACATCGGGATGGTTTGTTCCTGCACTCTCAGTAAGGGTTCTTTGAAGTATAGCCAGCTCTCCTGGACTCCTTTCCCACTCATTCTGGCTTCCCAGGGATTCTGCCCATGTGTTCCCTGAGTGAGTCAAAGTCTGCTTTTCTGAAGTCCAGGGTCCTTATTCTGCTGCTCTCCATCTTTCCTTTCCTTAGCACTGCTCTCTATCCTTCTTTTTCTAAGGTGGAGGGCCATAAGGATTAGTGGCATGGAGGGGCTTCCAGGTGAGGTCCCTGTTACACCTTACATATATTTAGCAATTGACTGGTCAAGCACCCAATAAATGTAGATGGGCCAACTGTGCAAAAATTATCACACCATAAAAATGACTATACGGATATAAAGAGCCAACCAGCTATAAAGTTAGTGCTTGAAAATGTATAATAACTCTATAGCTGGTTTCTACCCAGCTTTAATTTGAAACCAGAGCAGGGCTGTATTTGAGGGACTAAAGAGGTGAGGCGTACTCAGTTTACAAAAGAGACACTTGGGCGGGCGGGGGGACGGGACACGATAAGGGTTTACAAAATGCTAAAAAGCAAAGAGAAAGTAACTAGAGATTTACTGTTTACTGTCAATACAAGAGCTAGAGCTCACAAAGTGAAACAAGGAGGTAGTAAATTAAAAATGAACAAAACAAAGTTCTTTTTGACACGGCATGTAACTTAAGTGTGGAACTCATGACACCAGATGTTGTAGACACTGACAGTTCAGCCATATTCAAAAAAGGGGTTGGATAAATTATTTTGGAGGAAGGGGCACCAGTAGCTATTCAACATGTTAGGGATTCAACCTCTGAATCAGAACTTCTTAGACCTTAAATGCTAGAGGGTGCAAGTGGGAGAGGAACAGAGGAAAAACCCTGGTCGTCCCCAGTTCATTCTTCCTTTCAGTATCTACTCTCTGCCACTGTGTGACACAGAACCTATGGTCTGATCCAGTAAATGGCAGTTCTTATGTTCTTATGTAATAATATAATAATGACTGATGATTGCTCTGTTCCTCCTGCCCATATGTTGTTTTTGCTAAGCATGGACACCTCCCCTTTGAATTTCTGTTCCAAATCATCTGAAGCAAAAGTTAGTGAAACCCACTGGATTTCTCCAGGTTTTTATGCCAGGGCTAGGGAAAATTGCATGTTTTAGATAGTTTGTATGTGAATCAATAAACCAACCCAGTTCAGCTGTAAAGTCAGTTAAGCAAAGCTAAGGCCATTTTATTAAATTAATATAGCCCACAGTTCAGCTAGGTTCTACCCAAGTTTATAATCTCAAGGATAAACATAAGGCTTACTCTTACATTTAAAACAAATGTAAAGGGGAATGCTATGAGACTGTGATTCAGGCAGCAAAGCACAGTCTGCCACTCTGGTTTGTACTTAACATTTTTATAACTGTATTTCTGTGGTTGTGGTTTACGCTGACCACAGCTGCATTTTGAGAAAGAAGCTGAAGGAGCAGATTTTGGTTCTTGTCACCCAAGAATGGAGAGGGATTCTAGTCAGAAAACCAGGAAGCTCTTACTTTTGGGCATTCACAAGGTCCAGTGGGGAGGCACTAGACAGACCACTTTACATTTACTGATGGGTTCAGCCCTTATTTGAATGTTTTACTCTCATTTCTCCTTTGAAAGCGGAGTAATATGGAAGAAAGCATGGTGATAAGAGTGGGAGGGAACAAAGGGAAGAATACTATCATTAGCAGAGCAGTGATTAAGCTGAGAAATGTATAGTTTTTACTGTTGACTTCAATGTAAACAGGATTTCACCCACATTATCAAACCACTCCAGATGAGACAAGTTTTGATTTTTATAAATTATTATTTGTTATCTAATGTCTGTCTGTTTAATATTAACAGTGCTTAGTTGCACGACTATGTTGTGAAGGTTACACACTTTCTGGTATACCTATGGCAGCTACGGTCCTAAAGGTGGCCTTGCTTGAAAATAGCTGCTTATTAATCATTTGTATTATGGTAACACCCAGGTGATGTAGTCAAAGACAGCATCCCCATTTTGATAGGGACAAAAAGACAGAACAGAAAGATACTGCCTGCCCCAAAGAGTTTATAATCCAAGTATGAGGTAGAGGGAATACAAGCAAAGAATAGATAATATCTGTACTCCCACATCTGTTTGTATCCATCTGTTGTCTCCTATATGCTTACACTGTAACACTTTTGGAGCAGGGACTTTTTTTTAGTTCTGTATGTATACAGTGTCTATCACAATTAAGTCCTAATTCATCCCTAGCACTCCTAGGTACTTCTCTAACATAGGTCACAATAATAGGTCAGCACTATAGACAGTGGTTTCAGCACACTTCTGACCTAACAATGATACAGATTTGTCCTAGGCATCACAGCCAAAGAAAGCTTTGAGAAAAAAATTGAACGACTTTGCAAATATTTTTGGGCAGCTCCTCTCAAGCATGAGGGGTAGAATGGGGATGGTGCCTGTTTGAAATCTAACAAAGTGGTTATGGAAGAGTTGATATTTTGAC